GAGAGAGAGAGAGAGAGAGAGAGAGAGAGAGAGAGAGAGAGAGAGAGAGAGAGAGAGAGATGGGGGAGTCGATGAGGATTAGGAGGAAGTCGGCGACTGGGGGGGAGGTTAAAGGTTCATCATGATTTTTGTCTTTTTCTTCTCTGTTTTTTTTTCCTTATGTGTGTGTGAGAGAGAGAGATAGACGGGGGAAAGGAGGGTGAGGGGAAGCCGGCGAGGTGGTGAGTGGTATAGCCGCGCCAAGTGCCAGGATGTCTTTTGTCTTTTGATTTTTATTTTTATTTTTTATTTTTTTGTGTGTGTGTGTGAGAGAGAGAGAAGGGGGGGGACTGTGCCAAGCTGTCCGTTATGTGACTCTGACACGTGCTACTTCGTTTCTTCTTTGCGTTTTGCCTTCCCAGAAATGCTCCAAGATGCTCTCATGTCAATGCTACTCTCGAGAAGTCCCCCACCCGAAGAGCAACTGCCAAGCAGATTGAATGCCTGATTGTTTCATTCATACAATGCAAAACCTGCGTAACATCAGTGTCACTCCTATAGTTGGAGCCGACTTCCTTCAACTTCCCCGGGCCAATCGTCAATGACATCATCCGAGCCCACCAAAGTGAGACTCACCCACACACGCATGCACTTGCGCACATAACGTAAAAACTCAACAAGCACGGGGCATGCATACATGCAAGATGGGTTGATCACAAACATATCCGGAGAACACAGCAAACAAAGTCTGAATCTGAATCTTTAGCTGCAAAAACATCAACGGGGCAATGGACAGGATTTTCTCAGAAAAGTGCAGAGTTCTTGCACATCACAAAACAAAAACGATGCTGCGAAGGTAATGGCTCCCCAAACAAAACACTCAAAGATAAAGGGAAAAAAAGGCTCGGCGGCATATGATAGGGGAGTTCCTTATGCTTTTTCTTTCTTTTGTGCTTTTTTTCCTTTTCTGTCTTTGCGGGCGAAGCCGCAACGGGTCATCTAGTCTGCATCTGTTACTGCAAAGGTGAAAACCGTTTCAGGAGACGCACTTCAAAGACTACTTGCCGCTTGAAAAAGCAAATGAAAGAACAAGAGGGAACAAGGAATAGAAAGACAGAATCAGGTTAAAAAAAAAAAAAAAAGACGGATTCATGTTGTGTGTGGTTCTGATGGAGAGCAAAGTTTACTTTATGGTTGTGTGAAGAACTGCCCGCTGTCGTACGTGTGCATGCTCTGTTGTTGGGGTTGCTGGTGTTTGTTTTGTGACTTATGCTGCTTGTTTGCATGATGTGTTCCGCGTTTGGTATTGTTGGATTACACGCAACCAACCAGGAAGAAGCAGTTTGCAGCTATTGAAAATCCAGGTTTCTGGAATTGGACGTTTACTCTCAAGGACGAGGATGGGGGTGTTATAGCTGCAATTGACAGAAATTGGAGGGGCATTGGCTATGAGGTAGGTGGCATGGGTGGAAGGTGCAAGCGGGCAATGCTGAGACTTCAACAGACCACCTGTGTATTAAGAACAGTCAACAAAGGTTCAAGTCCATCCGCCTGCATGCTTTTTTTTTTTTTTTTTTTTTTTTTTTCCCCGTTCCCCGGGAACAGTGCTCCAATCTATTTGTGGGGAGCAGCACATGCCGGGAACTGGGCCCAGTGTCCTATATACAGTGTAGCCTGCATGTCGTGAACCACAATTGGTTAATGAGGGTATGAAATTTCGCGACTGAAAATCCTGAAGTGGGAGAAAGAAGAGGATTGCCACTGTACCCCAGGTGCTGCTCCCCACCAGTAGATCGGAGCCCCAGCCATAGGCCTACTAAGGGACGGTCGTCTTATCACCTCTCCCTTGTAGACCGTTGCGAGTTACAGAAAAAAAAAAAAAAAAGAAAGAAAAAAGAAAAGAAAAGAAAAGAAGAGGATCTTCGCTGCGCCCCGGCCTTGTGGCTGAATGGTACACACAGGCAGCTGTTGATAAACAGGTCATGAGATCAAACACTGGGGGAGACAATAACGGTAGGGGCTAACCCCTTTATTATATATTGAAAAAAACTTTGAAAAAAGAGGATCTTCACTGTTGTCAGTCGAGAAATCCTACAGCACCCTCAGCCAATGAAGGTCCTGAGGGAAGGAGGAGGAGCAAGGGGTGTAGATCTTCATAGATACTGTAAGATGCTGAACAACCTGCATTAACTGCCAGGATGGCAGACACGGTCACCTTTATCGCGTTGGCGCTGCAACATAGCGCGCTGAACGACCTTTACAGGTGCTGTAGAGAAACAAAGCACCACTTTATGATCTTTACAGATCCTTCAGGATTCTGAAAGGTCCTTGAAAAGGGATCGTAAAGTGGTGAAGATGCTGAAACGTCTGAAAGGGTCCTGGAGCGGTGGTCGGGCTGCACCTTCCCCAGCCCCTTTCTCCCTCTTGCATTTTTCTTTTGCGTGAAGAACCTGAACATCCGAAGATAACTGAACTGGCAGACGAGTACTGAAAAGTAAGGTAGTTGTGAACTCTTCTCTCTCTCTGGCGCTGGGGAGCAGAGGTCAGCCTGGAATCAAGTTTCGTATCTCACCACACCCATACAACTGCTGTAATGCTATTCATTCCGTAGGCTAGAAATACCCATTGCAGTACTTGCCTGACTGACCTGGAATGTAGGACAGGTTAACCTGGGGTGGTTGGGATGGTCGGGCTGGAGATTAGGATTCTGGTAGGCTATATGTTGCGTGCCCGTGGTGTGTGTGTGTGTGTGTGTGTGTGTGTGTGTGTGTGTGTGTGTGTGTGTGTGTGAGAGAGTCTAGANTGTGTGTGTGTGTGTGTGTGTGTGTGTGTGTGTGTGTGTGTGTGTGTGTGAGAGAGAGAGAGAGAGAGAGAGAGAGAGAGAGAGAGAGAGATCAGGTTGTGGTATGTCATTCGGGAGGGAGCGCAGAGCTCCTGGAGGCAGAGACTTGGCTTGTACATGGGTCACTGCATTGTTGAAGCAGCGAGTTTAGGGCAAGGAGATTTTGAATGAGGACGTTCGGTGTGTCTGACGTCTTGCCTCCTTGTCCTCTTCCTCTACTTCATCTTTGGATCTGGAGGCAGATGGGGGGAGTATTTGTCAATGTATGTATCCTCCCGGCTTCTTGATTTATGTTCGGGTGGGTGTTATTTCAACTTATTTGTCCGCATTGGCTCTCTTGAGGGATGTGTTGTCATGTCCTTGGTGGTTCATGCGTTCATTCTGCCTTCTGTTGTGCTATGTCACACCCTTCCCTCACAGGATTCCTTCTTGGGATTGCAGCGAACATTTGGTCTCTGCCAGGCATGTACCGCTCAATTTATTTCAGCAGGGGTTTAGCATTCATCGTTGTTGGTTGCAGCGCATGTCCAGACTGTGCTGCGCGTGCATCACTAGATACTAGATAGTAGATTGATTTCTCAGGGTGTCTCTGTTCTTTTTTTTTGTTTTTTTTGTCAATGATCCTTCTGCAGGTTCACCTATGGAAACATTGTTACGACTTCCCCTTTCTCTAAATGATAAGGGTCAGGTTCAATGAACTTATGACAGCACCCCGAGCGGCAAACAGCCGAGATCACCGCGATCCAGACACCACTTCACTGGAGCAGTCAATTGGTAGGAGCGACGGGTGGTGTGTATACTAAGGGCAGGACGTATTCAGGCGCAAGCTGATGACTCACGCTTACTACCTTCTTCCCCCGAATACAACGTACGGTCATTATAGCTGTATTTAGACTGAAACATGCCCCAAATACAGCTATAATGACCGTACTCTGTATTCAGGGGAAGAAGGTAGTCGTCTCTGTTGATTAAGACGAGAACCGTTATTCCAGTTCGCTTATCTGTTTCAGCTTCCAGACTTCCCAAGTCCAAATTCCCCTGGACGCAAGACAATGTTATTATGCTGTTATAGCCGGGTTTGCCGACAGAGGATCACTGCTAGAGAATCTAATCACCGCAGATTGCGGCAAAAACTGCCAGAAAGGGCTCGCTGCTAAGATATTGTTGAGATCAGAGATCAGCCGTCAACATATTCCTTTGGCCCTTGCATTCAGCTTGCCAGAGTTGTTTAAGAAGAGGATTCATTAAGTTTGCGATGCTTTTTTTTTTATAAAGGAAAAGTTGGAAAACCACTGCGATTATATATGAAAAAATAGGTGTAGGTGTGTACCGCCAGATTAGCAGCGAGGTACACGTGAAAGAAAGTAAACGACTCTGTCCTTTGGGACATCCATTAAAAATTGGAAGGATAGTTACGAATCCTACGATACAGAAAAAGATTAGCATGGCCCCTGCGAAAGGATGAGAATCATGAGAATGTGTAAATCGCGGACTGGTCCAAATTAGGGGGAAAAAAAAACAAAAAAACAAGAAAGTAAATGACTGTCAATCACCATTTTCGCATCGCTCGTTCGTAAGTTCGTAACGAGTATGTCGAAGTTAGTGCAATCGGTTTGATGGGTCGGTAACCGTCTAATTGGTAGTTCATTGACTTTTGATAATAAGTTAATAACATATTTGACTTCCGTTGTTTGTGTTGTTGTCTGGAGTTTGCTTGCATTTTCTTGAATTCTGATTGTTGAGTTCATGACAAAAATAATGGTGGTAGTATGTGGTTTGGCGTAATCCCTTTGCCACTTGCTTTGCAGGGCCTTGTTTGTTTGTTTGTTTGTTTGTTTGTTTGTTTGTTTGTTTGTTGCTTGATTTGTGAATGTCACTGAATGACTGATTGCAGGTTTTTGGCTGTTCTTCGGTTTGCTTGCGTCCTTGATTGCTCTCTGGCTTTTAGTTCATGACAGATGTCTGGTGTTTTTCGCTGGCATTCTTTGAATGCGTGGTGGTTGAGTTAAGGGCAGGATGCTGGTAGTCTGTGGTTTACATTCTTTAGAAGGGTCACTTTTTTGCCACTTTCTTTCCTGGGGGTTTGATTGTTCTCTTGTGAACGACTGAGTGCGGTTTTTTTTTCCCACTGTTCTGGTGTTTGCTTGTGTTTGTGATTGGCTTTTCTTGCTTAGTTCATGACAGATGCAGGCCAGTATGTGGTTCGGTTTGGAGACATAAGTGAACAGCTTCATCAGCCAGGTTTGGCCTTGGATTGGGCGGACAAGTCCGCGCAGTTGCCACCGTCATCCACAAGACATCTGCACTCCGCAGTTCCCCCTGGGCGGCATCCGCTTCCAGCAGCTCAATTATCGCAGCCGGCGGAGACCCAGCTCCAAAAGATTCAGGAGTCTGCCTTGGAGGTAAAGAGAAGGGGAAAAGGGGTTTCAACTTCTAAGGAAAAGAATCATCTAGTTAAACCGCCAGTACACGGCCCCAGCCTTGCTGAAAAGAAACTCGTAGCCTACAAAAAAAAATTTGGAGGCTCGGCCTACCGGACAAAGGATAAAAACTTAAAAAGTGCACCGCTGGCGGTTCGGAAAAGCAAGCTTGGCGCGCAGTAAGGGGCCTGCTGCAGGCCCGGGTGCGCTGGTGGTTTAAGGTTGTCGTTTTGCTGGATATCTCCGACCTATGGAAAGCATCCGGGATATAGGGTATTCGGGATACCACGAGCAGTACGACATGTTGTCGCCACAACCGGGAAAGGAGGTCGTCTGCACAACCCGGAATGCGCTCAAAACTTTGTTGTTATGCTTCCCTTTGATCCCATCCATGATGTGTTAGTCTTCCTTGCCCCTCCTCACATTTTTCATCTCATCCATGGTGTTGCTTGTTCTCCCAACCACCATGGGAACTATGGGGAGTGCCTGCTCTCAGTTGCTATGAAAACAAGTGTTCTCCTGCCAGCCTGCTCAGAGGGCATGTACGTGGTGGACCATTGCTGGCTGCAACCTTGCTCAGTTGCTATGAAAATAAGTGTTCTCCTGCCAGCCTGCTCAGAAGGCATGTACTTGGGAATTTGTCGGCCTCTGCACTCACTCGTCCGCAGCCTTGCACTCTTTGTCATCCATGTGGATTTTGGGGTCATCTGGTGTTGATATTAGGTGATTTTACAGAACACGTACGCAAATACACTCACACAATCACACTCTGGCACAGAAGTGCCTTTTTTCAGTGTACAGCGAATATGGGCCACACACACCACCACCACACAATGGTAACTCAACACACACCATCATCATCATCCTCATCATCCTCCTCCTCCTCCTCCTCCTCCTCCTCCTCCTCCTCCTCATCCTCATCATCATCATCATCATCGTCGTCATCATCATCATTATCATTATCATCATCACTACGGCGCTCTTGGCATAATCACTGGTCTAGGACATGGCAATGATGCTGGTATTCCCCCCGTGTCTCCAGCACCATGACAATGACATTGTCTCTCTCCCCCTCCCCACCTCCACCAGTCCCACAAAGCAGTGAAAAACAGAAAAGACCCCGGATTTGGCTGCTTTTGGTGGGTGAAGAAACGCCCGACCGTGGGTGGAGAGGAAAAAAATGGTGGACGAAACATTCCTGGGTTGACCCGGGCAAGATTGGGCCTGGACGAGCTGCCCGGCTTCCCGGCTTGGTGTCCCCTGTAACCTACAAAACAAGGGCATTTCAGATGTCTAGACTCTAAAGACTTCGATAGGAAGAGTGGTAGAAGCCCTTCTCCGTGAAGGGGGGTAGAAGCCCTTCTCCCCTTGATTGTGGGAAAAGTGCTTCTCTTTCTCACGCTGCATGCAGTGACAAGCACGTTCCTCTCTCCGTCTGCTCAGTCTGCAAGTGTCTTGCCTGGCTGTTTGTTTACTTTTGTTTTCTGCGTAAGCCACCAGTACTTCTTAACGTCGTGCCCGTTAACGCGCCATGATTTTAGGAAACGTACGTACAGGCCACTACAGGAGTGTCCAAATTCATCCGATTAGAAACGCTTCTACTCTATTTTTTTTCCACGGCCGATAGCTGGGCCAAGTACTGCTGGTTTAAGAAAACATTAAAACAAGGCAGGTTTTCGGAAACATTTTCTAGCCTTCTCTGCCACATTTGAGGGCAACGCTCAACAGTCATTATTACTTTGTTATCCTCCTCCAGGGTTTATTTGTGACTTTTGATGAGTTATGGGTGTTTTGTATGAGGCTGACAGCAAGGTACAGTGTAAACCCCCCAGTACACGGCCCCAGCCTCGCTGAAAAAAAAAACTCGTCACCTACGAAAATTTTGAAGGCCCAGCGCCGTAGATAAATTGAGTCGGCAGCTGAAAAGGGCCCGCGGCCGACAGCTGGATGCACTGGTGGTTTAAAGTTTAAACCTTTCGGGTTAGTGATCGACTGCTTTGCCTGGGAATCAACCAACTTCTATCTGTTTGTTTGTGGATGCATTTGTGCCTGCTGCCTTGCATTGCAGGTACCTCAACTGCAAGTGGTGCGACCGTTAAATCTGCTGGAACGCTCAGTGGCTCTGGGATTGGCTGTGTCGATCGACAACGATTATTTTTCACGGCACAGTGGGTATGTTGCGAATGCAATGACACGAGCGGTACCCTATGACTCTATGAGGATGATGAAAATACTCGCAAGTTTGGACTGCGGATTGAAGGTGTTTTTTTCCTTTTGTCCTGTTTGAAAAGGGGGTTGGCGTCTCAAATTGAGGTTGAAGGGGTTGTTTCCCTTTTGTCCTGTTTGTAAAGGGGGGTGGCGTCTCAAAAATTGTTGTGTCCATCAGGATCTCAACTCACGGGCGGGTAGATGTGCAATGAACCTGATTGTCAATGCTCACTGTCCAAACAGTTTGCTGGCATCAACTTCAGACATGAAGGTTGACGAAGCTCGGAAAACAAGAGGACGAAGGAGGAGGAGAGAGAAAAGGATAGAGAAGAGAAAATAATAATCACTAATCCTATGAACGGGAAAAGCGGTCCTCCTGTGATGCTCCCAGCAGGCCCAAGAAAAGTTGTGGGGGGAGCGGTACCGGTGGGCCGTGTGGGCCCCGGAAAGCGCCATCGTCCGAAGGTTCGAATACAAGTACATAGCAACAACGCAAATACAAGTACTGAGTATGGGCGTCGCTCGCATCGATCCACTTGCACTAAAAAAATATGGCAGTGTATCTTCCCGTGCTTTAGAGAAGACTCGTTTGGGGAGGGGCAGTGCAGGTGCAGCTGACCCGCCAAATATGAATCTAGGCCGCGAGCATGGGACAATACACAGCTGCAGTGTTGTTGTTTTTTTCCGGTGGATTCGTCATTTTTTTTTTTCAATAGATTCGTTGTTCTTCTTTGTCCTTTTCCAGATTTATTGTTGTTCTTTGTCATTTTGCAAATGCAAGAGGCCATTCAGTTTCACAATGTCGGCTTTTTTTCAGTAGATTTATTGTGTTTTTTTTTCTTCAGTAGATTTTTTTTTTTTTTTTTTTTTTTTTCCGGTAGTTATTTGTCATTCGTGAGTGGTTAAGACTAAGCTCGAGACTCTCGAAATGCGCAAAGTGAGACTGAATCCTGCTCTAGAACGTGGAAAGATACATTGCCATAATTTTTGCCCTTCATGCATGTGGCGAGTAGTGGAGCGCGGCCCGTAGTTCTGAAGCGCAAGAGGCCAGCGTGGCGGTGCCATTTCAAACAAGCCTGGAAATGGTAATGCAGCATATCTCGAGCAGCAGAGAAGTCATTGTCATGCATAGCATCGGCCAGAGGAGATAAGGTGAATCACAACTGCCTCTGCATGCCAGATCTCTCCTCCAACCGCCCTTCATCAGTGTCCGTCTCCCAGTTACGAAGGTAACACCTCCCATCATATGCCACCAGCAGCGCCCACTTGGCTATGGCTGCGTCGCCTGGCGCAACATAGCATCCTTGGAGCATGACCTCCTGCATCAACTTGCCCAGGCAGAATGAATCTCCGGACTGAGGCAGGGCCTGCTTTTGTAGCCTTGACTTGGCCTAGACCTGGGTCAAAAAAATCTGTGCGGCAAGGATCTGGTTGTGGCCTGTGTGTGAGTGCTCCCGGTGAGTCTGAGAGTTTCTGGAAACTTTGCCCCTCCTTTGGATCGTCCATGATCGGTGGCTGAGTTGACTTCTGAGAAGGTCTTTAACTCTTGGCCCTCTGTGTCCGGGTTGGGCCTGACAATTGGATTTCCTCAGGCCGGGGAGACTTCTCCAGGCCGTGGGGGTTATTTCTGAGCCCCCGTACTACCCCAGCCCCTTTGACCTGAAGGGCCTCAGATGCCTCCTAGGCCTAGACCGCGAGTTATGACGCCAGAACTCCAACGCAGGCTGAACGACACGACCCTAGACTTGAAACCAAACCCCTTTGACTGTTGTTTCTTTGCACCCGAGGTTTGAAGTATTTACTGCGAATGAAGTTGCTTTTTTGGAATTTTTTGCACTTTCGGGAGGTTGAGATCCTCGTGCTTGTGTTGGCAGCGTGCGGGTAAATGGTACGTTTTTGTTTCTGTTTAGCGTTGTCCATGCCATCCTGGTTATACCGTTATTGTGAAGTTTGATGCTTACTCATCTGCCTCCCCTCTTTCCCCCTGCCTCTGTCCTTCCCTTCCCTCCTCCCTGGCTGACCTCACTTCCTCGATCTCCTGCCGACCTCACTTCCTTCCTCGATCTCCTGCCTTTTCTTTCTCCTTTGAAGGCAGGCTTAGGCAGAACCCTGTTCTTACCTGGTGATTTGTTTTCTCATCTTCAATGTGACACAGGAACATGGGAGTTTTTCCAATGCCATTTGTGTTCGGGGACGCTGCACAGAGTGAAGAAGCTCCTGAGGCTGATGAGACCTCTTCCGGCAGCGGTAGTAGTGTAGAGTCTCCTGGAGTTGCGGGAGCAGCAGCACCCCTCGCTGGAGCTGCTGGTAGACAGACTGCTGCCAAGGGCGCTGATGACCCTCCCGTAACTGATTGGCCGGAAGAAACAACATTGTCAGGAGATCGCCTGCCTAGCGACGACCCAGATGTTGCCGACCACCCATCCAGCCGTTGGGGACTGTTCGGCGGTGAGGAAAGCGAGGAACGTATCGATGCTGACGATGGCGGCAGTAGTGATACGAGTGGCAGTCTGTGGGGTACCTTGTCAGACATATTTGGTGACGATGAAGAGTAAAATAGCAGCTGGGAAAACCAGAAAGGGGAAATGGAAGAACTTTTGTGAGACATGTAAGTAACTACTTAGCTGTGTTGTCACAGACTCGTCAGGCTTCGGTTTCACTTTTCAACCTTGCGTGCATAGAACATGTAGAGGGGAAAGAAGAGAGATTTCTACGATAAGTAATGCATACGATGTGTTGTTGGGCGGAAGGCTTTGGTTTCGATGATATGCAGGTTGATGGGGGGATTCTAGCATGTGAAGAGCCCATTCGGTCTTGTGTCCTCCAATTTTTTATTGTCAAAGCTTGGGAAAGGGCGACGAGGAAGTCCGGACTGCCTTGGAAAAGGTGGCGAGTAGCTGAAAGCGAAAAACCAAATACAGCGAATGCTTCTCCGCCATCTCTCTTTTGACATACTTGAAACTGTCAGTTCAAGCGAAGCCAAGTTGGTGTCTCGCTGGTATAGCTGGCAAGAACATGCCGCTTCGGCCTACTGGACCCAAGGGGGGTA